TCTTTCATAAATTTTCCATTTAGGATCTAGGCAATGCCTAGGCCTTTTAACATTTCATACATGTGTAACAGGGCACTGGCACATGCACATGCTTTTGATGCTATTCCCTACATGGAAGAGTCTGGGAAGCCTGCTTCTGAGAATGTCATGATAATGTGTGATAGAAGTGCCATGGAGAGACTTGGGTGCACATACATTAGATAACTGGTTCTGGCCTTCTAACTGCATGGTAGACAGCAGCCTCTTTGATGTCTGTAGTTATGGAACTGAAACCTTCAAAAAGACCTCAGTCAGCCTCAGCTTCTTTCTCTCAGTAAATTTCTACTCTTGGTTTAACTGCTTTGCTGACAGTTTCCAGGAAGAGACAATGCTATAAAATACTTGGGCTCTCTCTCTTCTGAGGCCATGTGGCCCCATGAAAAAGGATCTTGGTTCTTTTCCTACCTCAGTTACATTCTCTTTTATTTAAGGTAATTAATCTGGAGGGTCTGACCTTGTGAGTTTCAGGAGATCAGGAAAGTGAGCATCTTAGAGTTTTGGAGTCCAGGAATCAAGTACATACTGGATTTTTCAGACAACCCAACATCAATGCCCCAAGGAGTGAGGAGTGTCCTGACCTTTGGGATCCCATCCAGCAGTAGCTGAGGTGAGGAATTATCTGGCATTAATGTTGCATTTTGACATGAACTTGGTGGGACCAATGCTATGCAGAAATTGTGCTAAGTTTAAGCCCACTCTCCCCACAAGACAGTATAGGGGAATGTGCGCCACCAAGGGATTGAGGGAAAAGGTTTATGCTTTTTATTACTACTGTATATTCTAAGTAAATAACCTTCTGACAAAGCTAATTAATATTAAGTACTTGGTGCTAGTCACCATTGGCTAACAGTGGAGACACTACCAACCTGGATTCCGCAGACGATCTTTAGAACCCTGAAGGAAAGAGGTAGCTGGCCTTGATCTGGAATAGTGGGCTCAGTGGATCTCATTAAACATGCTAATGCTACATATGCTATGTCTGCAATCCCTTGCCCTCACCACAACTGGCCCACCTCCTACTACCATGATACATGTCCTTAATGATATCTTTTTTGCCTCTCCTTGCACACAAGTCATTGTTAGTAATAATGCTATAGATCATCACACTTTTTTCCATAGTCATTTTGGTTACCAGCAATTTTGATTCTTCTTAAAGAGTGGTATTCCATGATTCTCAACCACGGTGCATCAATGGGAGGAGACTGACATAAAAAATGATGGGCTTTTGTATTCGGGGGCAAGCTAGCATCACTGAAAGCAATTTCCTGAATGTAATCAAGTCTCGTTGTTGAGTCAATTCTGTCCTTACCTAACTGTCCAAATTCAGTTCCTGACAGACTGGTGTCCAGTTTTCCTAGCAGTTTTTGTCAAATAGTGAGGCCTTCTCTTAGTAATTTGGATCTTTAAGTTTACGGAATACTATGCCACTATGTTGATTCTTTATACTATATACTTAATCTGTTCCATTGACTAAACTATTTTTTTAACCAGGCTAAATCATTTTAATAATTACCAATTTATAGTACAGCTTGAGATCTAGTACTGATAGATCTTCTTCCTTATCACTGTTTTCATTTATTACCCATGAGTTTCTTGATTTTTTGATCCTCCTTATGAATTTGTTTACTATTTTTTCTAGCTCTGTAAACAATTATTTGGTAGTCTGATTGGATATGGCACTGAATAAGTACATTAATTTATTTAGTACTGTCATTTTATTATATTGGCTTAATCTATCCATGAGCAACTAATGTTTCCACACAAAAGTTTTAGGAATGCTCTTTGGCTCCCTTCATTGCTGTAACTGTTTTATACCTATTAAACTTCTAGGAAATTATGATAGTCAGAGTCAATATATATTTTTATCCATCTGTTATTTTTCTATGGCTAAGCAAACCGCTAAGAACTAGGCAATGTCTTTACCTTTATCCATTTCATATTTTTAAGAAATTCACTTCCCATTTTTATGAGCCAAGTTTGTTTAAACAGGTTGGCTTAAAGTTTTAATTTCAAGCTATGTTTTCCCATCTTTCTCCTTTCTCCTAATTTCATGTTAATTTTTACCTTTGACCAGTTGATGATCTGAGTGCTTTCAAATAACTGGTTCTGAAATGACTCACATGTTGGTAACCAGTTGCTTCCTATCTGCTAAAATATGGTCGGTGTCAGTTTTTATGCTTGTTAACCCTCCTAGTAGAAAGTATTTATGAGATATAGGCATGAGGCTCCTGAGTAATTTACAAGCTCTGGCATCTTATTTTCCAACATATTTCTCTCTATCCTTCCTGGGCCCTGACATACCAAAGTTACATAGTAGGTATTTAATAATTGCTTGTTCATTGATATATGTTAATTTGGTTAAAAGAATCTTATGAAGTTTTGTGTAAAATTACCTATTTCACCTTCTGTAATAAATCTTGGTATATAAGGTGCATCTATCTTTATGGTGGTCACTTTGCCTATGCTCATACCAAGTTCTGCAAGGTGAAATGGCTCAGGAAGTGAAGGTTTTTGTAGCCTTTGGATGCAAAATGAAATCAACTCTTCCAATTCCTTTATTTGCTTCTTTCAGGAAAACCTATGAATCATCCTTCCATTCAGCTGTAATTTCTCTCCATACTCATTGAAGCTGATAGTCACTCAGGAGGCACATTCTGTTACTAAGACTATACATAAATTCAGCCTTTTGAGATTAGCTGACCCAGACAGAACTTTTGCTGTACTAGCCTAAGCTTCACAAATCCTACGTCATCTACATACCACAAGGAGATGTTGGAACAGGACTTCTTGGGAAGCTATATGACTTAGCATTAAATTGATATGGCCTGTGGAGAGCAGGATTTTCTGACATTAAAAGTATGTAAACTTATAAAAGTAACATTAAAGAGTGTTATTTATTGTGCCCCCTGCTATGTGCTGTGAATTAAGCAGCTGCCTATCTTTCCTACTCTTCATTCTAGTCCTGCTTCTAAGCAATCTTGAGCTACATCTGTCATTTGTTCCCCTTTTATGCCATGTTCCTTGATATTAGTTAGTGCTTTTCAATTAATTCAATGGGGGGGGAATAAAAAATTACAGAATATCCACTATGAACTAGCTGAGTTTTATGTTCTGCACAGGACCTATAACACTCTGGGAATCTAATAAACCTCAAATAACAAACAGTGATTTCATCCCCAGACAGACACAGAGCAGGGAGTCAGATGGTACAGAGAACATCAGGGAATAGCCACATTTGTCTTTTCTGCCTGCAGCAAGGTCACTGTACCTATGGGAACACAATGTGGGTTGATCCTGGGGCAGATACATTAATTATTATTAATGTTTATGAATGACTTAAAAACTGTGTGATTAGCAACCTGTGCCTGCTTTTCCACTATTCTCACTGCAGAAGCTCACACAGGAGCCTCTCTATATTTACTTAGGCTGGTCCTCACACAGAAAGCAGTGTCACCAGGACCACACTGAAAGCCTTTCCATCTTGGCTGAACCTGCCAGAACTTGGGCTCTGCTTACATACAGCTTCAAGAATCAAGGTTCACCCCCATGCCATGATGAATTATCATATACTTCCAAGCTGGGCCAGAACAAGAATGTTTCATGTGGGCATTTGTCATTTGAGTAGACAGTAACTGTCCTCAGGAATAGCAGGTAGAACATGATGTAGTGTAAAAGAAAAGGAATTAGAATCATAAGAACTGGGTTCAAATCTTGGTTCTATTATTTTCCAGTTGTGACCCTGGGAAAGTCACGGAACTTTTCTAGGGTTCATAGGTTTATAAATTTAGAAACAGGCTTCAGAGGTTTTTAGAAAAGGGCTTTAGAGATTTCATCAAACCATCTTATTTTACAAATTTTTAAGTTACAGGTAGTAATAAAGAGGCCAGGATTCACAACCAAATTTTCTGGCTCCAAATCCATCACTCTTCACTACTTTGTACTTAGTTTATCTTTAAAATGAGTGGGGTGGATTAATAGATTTTTAGTTGGGAAGCAGTATGATACAATGGAAAATACGCTAGATTTGGAGTCAAAGGATTTAGGTCCAAATTCTGGCTTTTCCATTTATTAGCTGTGAGATCTTGGGGCTGTACTTTCTTTATCTATAAAATGAAGGTGCCTATTAAGGTCCCTTCTGGTTTTAAATCTATGATCCTATGTTCTCGTGAAGGTCTAAATCTCATTTTATATACATACACATATGCAGACACAATATATATGTATGTACACACACACACATACATATATATCTCACAAACTCCAGGGATGACAGTAGTTCATATTCATATAGTGCAATGCAAAGTGCTTTCATGTCCATCATTTCATTTGAACCTTATAATTCCCTCTGTGATTGATTTCTATTTCCATTTCCCAGATGAGGAAAGTCAGATACAAAGATGTGATATGACTTGCCCAAGGTCACATAGCTCCTAATTAGTAAAACGAAAACAGGACTCCTTATTTCCAGGTCTGTGTTCTTTGCACTGTACCAAACTGTCTCTTGAAGGGTGAAACCCAGGATCAAAATTCAAGAGACAGCATCTCAACCAGCTTCATGGCCACAAGTTACAAGCACTGAGTTGGGCATGACCAGACAATTTTCATGAAATGGGGCAAATGTTATACAGTTAGAAGAATGCTAGGCAGTACAGTCGCTCTGTCATTCACTAGCTGAAATATTATAGGCAGTTGTTTTTGCCTCTGCCTCATCTGTAAAATGGAGATAATAATCCTCACATTCATCCCACAGAGCTGGCGAGGAAAGTGTCTGAAACTGCATAGCAATGGGAAACATTTTTAGTATTACCATCATGACCTTGGACAATCCACATCTCTTTTCCAAGTTCAGTTTCGTTATCTGTAAAATGAGGGGGTCGGGCTATAATGATGTTTAAGATACCTTCCAGCTCTAAATACCTTATGATCTGTAAAATGGGGATAAGAATATTTGCACAGCTTACCTCACAGGATTGTTGAGGCTTTATAAACTGTAAAGTGATAGAGAAAGGAAAGCTTGAATAACAACTCATATTTCTATAGTTTTTCCATTCCAATTCCTCTTCGTTTAGTTTCAAAGCAGCCGGGCCAGAAGCCACTTCTTCCTTCCCTTCCCCCGCTGGCACCTAAAGTGCCTTGTCCTGATACGATGTCTTCTTGGTGGGCATGGCTGAACCCGTCTCCATGGCGACCTCCAACCTCCGTTTCCATAGAAACGCAACCTCCTTGCCTTCCCGCCCCCCAATCCTCGTGATGGACAAGTTCGAGTCTCGTTGCCATAGTGACCCCAGGTAGAGGCACCAAGTCCGAGCCTGGTAGCCATGGAGACTACAAGGGAAGAAGCTTGAGGGGGGGAGGCGAGGGAGAAAAAAGGAACGCTAACTGCCTTCTCTTAGTGGGGAAGAAGTAGGAGAAAGACAAATCTCCAAGGCCACCCGGCTAAAGAGAAAAAAAAAAGAGGCGTGGGGAAGACAGAAAAAAACTGGAAGAGATAAGGAGGGAAAGAGAAAGAATAACAGGAAGTGATGTCATCCGCACGTGCTTCTGAAATGCGCTTGCGCTTTGGCCCTTGATTTCCCCGCCCCCCGTCGTCCGCGCGCTGCCGAGTCACGAGGGTGGGACGAGCAGGAGCGGAGGCGGGGCTGCGGTCCCTGCGACGCAAGCGCAGTGGGAGAGTACAGTGGCGCTGGGCGCCCCTCACACCTATTGGGCTCCGGGGCTCCGGGCCCTGGGTCTGGGAGAAGAGCGGAGCCCACTGGACTGGATCGGGCAACCGCCTCTGCCGCTGGGAGGTGAGTGTGTGACTGGGCAGGGCCCAGGCGGTCGCTGTCTGGCCCTGTCCCACCGTGCCCTGGGCCGGCCCCCCGGCCGGGCCTGGCCCTCCGGCCGACGGGGTTGTCGTCCTGTCGTCCGCCTGCCGGGGCCGTGTCCCCGCGCTTCCTGGGCGGCCCCTCGGCCGCGCTTGACCGTTCCGGCTGGCCGGGAGCCGGGGGCACCCTGTCGGCCCTCCTGCCGCCCCAGCCCCGGCCCCGGCCCCGGCGCGTCCGCCGTCGGCTCCCTTTCCCGCCCGCGCCTCCTCAGCCCCGAGCTCTGCCCCCGTCCCGCCCCTCTCGGCCGCCAGCTTCCCCTTGGCGGCGGCTGCCCTTTGCCCCTTCCCGCCCTTTCCCTTCTCCCTCACTCCCCTCCGACCCGCCCCCAGCCCTTGCCGGACCCCAGGTCTCGGGCGCCTGGAGCGCAGACGGGGCGGCCGCCGCAGGGGCGCCCGGACCCTGGGTCGTTGTCGGACAGTCCCGGCAGCTGCCTCAGGACGGGGACGGGGCGCGGAATGTGCCGGCCTCTTCCAGCCCTCAGCCGCGGACCTGTTGCAAATTCCCGAGGCCCGGAGTGTTGACTTTCCGAGCTGAAAAATGTGACATTTTGTCTTTACTTTGAGCTTCTGGATGCGGTGGGAGTTTCTGGGATGGCTTTGCAATCTTTATCCTCCACGTCTGCCGGGTTCTGGAAATGTCTCATTTGTAATAGGGGAATTCTCCGTTTTTAGCGAGGCCCAGGCGCTGGTGGATTCGCTACCTGTTGTTAATCGGAAAAGTTAAAGCAGTAGACTGAAAGTGCCAAAGTATCAATACCCCTTAAAAGTAGAGGAAATTAGGGCTTTACCTTTCATAGTGAGGTACTTAAATACGCTAGCACCCGTCATGGTCTAGGTGGCACTGTTAGTGTAAGTGGAAAAAAGTGGGATTTTGAATCAGAAAAGCTGGGTTTGAATTCTACTTCTGCTAGACTTAGGACATGCCACTTAACCTCTGCCTCGATTTCCTCATCCATAAAATGAAAGAGTTGGATTAGATGATAGATGATTTCCAAGGACCCTTCCAGATACAAACCTTGCGATTTTGGAAAAATGGGGTCGGGGTAGGGGAGATGTTGAATTGACATAGAACCGAATTAACTTTGGATTCTCATGCGACTGGTCAACGTAAAGTGATGTCTGTGCTTTAAAAATAGCAACAAAATTGTAAAATTTTGTTTCTAGAGAATTTGATTGCTAATTGTGGGGAGTTTGAAGCAACCCATACCAAAAATTAATCCCAACTTTGTCCCGGTTAGCTTGTAGAGCTCTTAAGGAAGAAGCAATAACATATTGTCTAATAAAGCCTTTACAACGATCTGTCATCAGTCAGTAAGTTTTAATTGTGTCTGCTATGTGCCAGGCATTGTGCTAAATGCTGGGGATACAAAGAAAGTCAAAAGACCGTGTCTGCTCACGGTCGAATGGAAGACACAGCATGCAGACAACTATGTACAAACAAGATGTATACAGGATAAATTGGAGATAATCTTAGAGGGAAGGCACTAGAGTTAAGGGGGATTAACCCCACAGGGTAAAGGTTAACTACTTTGAGCTAAAAAAAGAAACAGTATGAGGAAAATGCTGGACATTGGAAAATAGTTAAAGTATTCATTTTAAATTCTTGGGACAAATGGAAGCTGTTTTATTAGAATAGAAATTTAAGTCTGTCAACTCTTGAAGAAGCTCTTAAAAAGGATGCTTTTTTAAACAATCAGCTTAGAGCCAGTAGTTTAGCACCATGCCTAGTTTGGGTATGAATCAGAAGTTTTTTCACTATTTATGGCTCAGAGTTCAAGAGCTGGGAAGAAAGTGAAGGATATCTGTGGAAGTTTATTTTGCATAATGTTAGATTAGAAGCTTTTAGAGAACAGGAGCATAGTCTTTCACTTATTTTTTTGTGTGTGTCCCCGCTGGCTTATCATGTTCTACACAGATCACTGCATTATAATGGAAGGATCATGTTCTACACAGATCACTGCATTATAATGGAAGGATCATGTTCTACACAGATCACTGCATTATAATGGAAGGATCCTGGATTTGGAGTTAAGAAAAACTGGTGGGTTTTTTATGAACATCTGTAATCTGCATATAACTTCCAGCTGCTGTGGAGCTGAGGTGTGAAAACACAGGCCTCCAAAATCCTTGGGGCTTGGGACTGAGCTGGATTAAAGTGTAATTGGGAAACATTTAACAAAATAAATAAAAACATAATAGAGAGAATGTTAATATATGGTTGTCAAAATCAATATGTGGCCCACTGGTATATTTATGTAATATTCGGTGGTCCCCATTTCTATTTGAGTTTGACAACACTGCTGTGGAGAATACCAGAGTAGTAAAAGTCCCTACCCTCAAGAAAAGCTTTAAACAAAGATAGTTAATTTATGTATTTGGGCTATTCTGCTGTAGATCTAGAATTTGAAGGACCTGTAAAGTATAAGTGGGATGAGAGGGGTGTGCCTGGTTTGTAAACCTGGGTGTGATTCAAGGTCAATGAAAAGAATATTTAAATCTCTGTTAGGAAGTTGGAATGAAATCTGGCTGAGTTCTCTGAGCATATTTTCACTGTCTGAAATGCTGATGTGAATGGACACTTTAAAAATAAATATAAAGCAATACTGTCCTTTCTTGATCAACTTAGATAGTATCCATGGAACTTGTTTTGTAGTGCCATCACCTCATTCTCATTCTCAACAATTAAGTGAAAATAATCATTCTCTGATTGCGCCTCTTTGTATGATAATATATCAGATGTATTATGACACCTCTAGTCTTTCGAAGTTTCATAACAACATCAAACTGAGAAATGAGCAGATGTGAAATTAGAAGAACCAAGGAGGAAGTTGGTAGGGTGGCAGGAAGAGGCATGAGAATGGAGAAGGGAACAGTATGAAGAGATAGGTAAAGAGTATTATTTTTTCAAGAATGTCCTGTTTTGTTTGTGTGTGTTTTTAGTTGTATTCCTATTCTTTGGAGGTAGATAGTAGTTTGCCTATTTTTGTTATACGGAATTTCACATTAACTTACAAATAACAGTGTGTAGATTGAACCCTTATTAAGTGACTTTTTTTTACATTTTTCCTATTTTTACTACTCTGAAGTGAGAATATGATATGGAAGACTAGGTATCAGTCAACTAGGTACTATATGGAATACATCAGTAATCAAGGAACTATTTTTCTAACTCTACCTGCTTTAATCTTGGCTTAATGATACCTTATACACTGAAGCACATTTTTTTTAACATGAATGTGTAGGTTAGGAAGTACTCAAGTGGGTACTTCAGGAGGAGAATAGTATATGTGTCATAGGGTTATATTAAGATGGGATTAAGTGTCAGACCAGTAGGAAACAGAATAGCATTTCTTAGAATCCAAGTGTTCTACCTTGCAGTCCAGTCTCCCCTTGTTCTCACATATATACAATTCAGTTCTGATCAAAAGATTAGTGTATTTGTAGGGTACCTAGACCCTTGCAAAAAGAGGAAGCTTTTTTTTCCTGTTAGCAGGTAAACTAAAAAGCAAGGATATTGAGATAATTATTTCTTCAAGCCCAGCTGTTAGGATATTGGCATCAAATGGATTTTAGTTTTTAAAAAATTGCATATTTTAAGTGTTTAATTTTTTATTCCTGCCTGCTATCTCCCAGTATTTTAGCATGAAATTCCCTTTCAAAAATACTTTTCTTCATGCTAGAATTCCCCCCTGAGAAATGCCAATTAATATGGAAATATTATATTATGGAACCTGTGTCCTTTTTTAAATTAAATTTTTAATTTTATTTTCAGCATTAACAGATAACAACCAGAACGGTGAAGCAACTTCCACAATGAAATCTGAAGCCAAGGATGGAGAAGAAGAGAGTCTGCAGACAGCTTTCAAGAAGCTAAGAGTGGACGCAGCAGGGTAAATATGTGATATGGTATTTGGGAATTTTTCATTAATTGTATTTAAACGGCATCTTTTCTTAGAGATCTTTCTATCCTCTATGTAATATCTCAAATCATTAAGAAATTAATGCACATTCTTCTCATGGTGCAGTTATCTAGCCAAAGTCTGCCAGCAAAATTTCAGCTATCAAAAGGCAAAAATTATTCAGTCTGCCTGTCCTTGCCATCTTGCTCACATTAAATCTGAAAGATAGCATGCTATTCCTTAAAACACTTCAGAGTTAAGTGTTTTGGTTGTCTTTCACAATGAATCGCTTTATTTTTGCTAAGGAATTTTTTTTAAATTGAAAATTATTAAATAAAATCCCAGCAAGTTCTGAGATGAATTTAACCTGAATATCTCAGAGGAATCATAGGATCTTTCACTAAAACTGAATTGGCTCAATAGAAATCTTTAAAGACTTATAGATTTCATGGACCTTGATTGCTGAGCTGATCACTATGGAAACCTATTCAGTAGGGTTCTGTCACTGAGATCAATAATCTTGGACCCTTTGGTCTGAGTAATTAGTGCACCTGCAGACCAGCTGCTCACTGAATCTTAATATCTTGACCTTTTCAATATGTCATGTGTATCCTCATTCCCTACCCAAATAAGGGAGAAAATACCAAATTTTTATTAGTAATTAGGATTTTCATTTTGATTTTGAGCCTTCCTTCTTGGAAGTGCAAAACAAGAACACCTAGCAATAGGTATGTGTTTATATGAAATTTACTGTCAGTGCTGCTTGTGGTTTGGTCATTACCCTAGCCTGGTAAGAGGATTTCATGACAGATGTTTACTCCAGAAGTATTCATCTTTCACTTCCATGATATCCCAAATAAGGACCCTTCTTAGGTTTATTGTTTTACTACTATTTTGGTGTTTTGTTAGCAGCAGAGAGAAATGAGGGGAACAATACTTGTTTTTCCTTGTTCCCAAACCATGGTTTGATTTTAGCAAAGAAAGACATTTTCAAAATTCTGTATTCACAGTAAGTGCTCCTACATGTATTCTTATGTAGAAAAGTGAAAATCAGAATGTGGTTAGAGAGATCTCAGTTATGTGAACCTATATAAATATGTTTCTATGGTTATAAACAATATTGAAAAACCAGGCAATTTATTCACTAATTTAGAGGCTGTCATTGGGTCTCATCAAATCTATAAAGTTACTGACATCTTTGTACTTCTTTTTTGTATATAAGTTAAGCTTGTGTGAAGGTAGTAAGTTTATTTATGTGGCAACAGCTTCCTATTTGGACTGATGAAATCTAAAATTAGAAAGAATTTGAGTCCATACAAGAAGATTTATATTCTGAAATCCTTAGATCTTCATGAAACAAAACTTAACAAGTATATGTCATTTTTCCCTTAACTCTTAAAATTAGTAATTCTGCTGTGAATTTTTTTTTCCATTGAGCTAGCATCATGAAAGGCAATGCAATGTTCTTATGTGTAGGAAGTCATCTTTTATAGTGCTTTAAAAAATTGAAAATATTAAAGCAGGCTACTTTTGTGATTCCTCCCCACCACTGCCAGCAATTCATTTGAAACCTTTAAAAAGACTGATAAAGTAATAATATAATATGGTCAAAAATGTTTGTACGAAAGGAAGGAAAGAGAGCCTGTGAAAGAGAATATTAAATAATACAAAGGATGAGTCATTACTGTGACTAAGCAGAGTGAGAATACTAGCAATTCATCAGCAATTCCCAGCCCTTTTGTCATTATGGGTTTAGAAACTGAGGCATTATGGTATTGTGGAAAGAGCATGGGTTCAGAAAACCTAAGTTTAAATTCCAACTCTGCTGGATAATTGCAGCAAGTAATTTAAACAAACCTCTTTGAAGCGTCAGTTTCCTCATCTTAAAATAAGGTTGATAATACTCATGCTACCCTTTTCACAAGATTATTATGAGGAAAGTGTTTTGTAAGCTCTAAAGCACTACATAAAGGTGTGAGCTATTAATTCATTAGCAAGTACCAGGTGGCCCTTATAAACCTAAGAAATATTTAAATTATGTGATCATTTCTAACAGATTGTTTTAGTTTGTAATGGTAATCTGTTTTATCTAGGCTAGTATCTTGTTATAAACATTCTTGATTTGAAAAATAAAATTTTTAGACAGTCTAATCATTACTTTAACAGGTGTTATTCTAAATGTGGGATTCTGATATAAAACTAATGAGTCAGCATGTTACTGGCAGAATTGAACTATTTGAACATTGAAATTCTTACTGTAGATGAAACTAGAAGATAAAAAGAAATTAGAACTAAATGGAAAGGGGACTTAGAGGGTTTCTTGGAGAGGCAGATAAAAATGTTGGTTTTAGCTTGTGCCCAAAGAAAACAAGAAACATCATTTTATGGCACATTTGATCATCTTGTCTTTCCGTGCTTGCAATGAGTGTAATAAAAAAGACCATTGTAAAGGTAATTGCAGCCTATGCTCCAACATAAGCTGAGTAAATTGAGAAATTCTATGCAGAACTCATTAATATCCTCCAAACTAGTGATTTTAATGCAAAGTTAGATATGGAGAAGATGGTGAGAAATATGTGGGAAAATATGGTTCATTTTTAAGAAATGAGGCAGGATACTGCTCAGAAACTTTATACCTACATATTATTTAATATTTAAATATACATGTATCTTTTAAAGAGAAAGTTGGAGGAGCACACAAGATCCCAAGAAGTAAAATTGACCATATTTTAAGATAGGAAATAATCAGATACCACTCGGGAAGTCATTTCAGAATCAGATGTCTCTCTGCAGTCAGAATGTCAATTTATTAGAACAAAGATTAAAATCAATACCAAATTTGAATAAGGGATAAAGATGAGATGCAGTTATGTGTCCAAATCAAATGATTTATTGACATTAAAGAATGGGAGCTAGAACTAGGAAAAGTGATTGACAGTAGTTTATCACTGTTTCTTATGGAAGTTTCCAAAAGTATGCAAAAATTTCCTCAGCCAGCAAATCCTTTATCTCCTTACCAAGCAGAGACAGATGACAAGTCAGAGGAAACAGTAGTTTAGAATATAAATTCATTTACAAAACCATATGAAAGAGGTCAGTAGGAATTTGAACATTATCATCATTAAATGGCATGAAGTGGTAGAGAGAAAAAAAATTTTCAGAGAGCTTAGCCTGAAACCCAGTCAAGGAAGATCATCCCTGGGCATTTAAAAATGAAATTTGAAGGAAGACAGCAGGTGAAAAATGGAGCAGATCTGTCAGCATTTCTACCATAAGCGATTTTCTTCGTCTGTGATAGTGGAACCCCACCAAATTTGGACTCATCATTCAGCCTCCAGTTTGCTAACTGAGAATGTGGAAATGGCTTTAAGGAAGACCTTGTGCGTTGGAGCAGACACAGTGTAAATTGAGGAAATCTGCCTTGGATTCAGTATAATTTTGAGGGTGAGGAGAGATTGAGTCCCAAGATAGCTGAACAGAAGGGAAGATACATGATTAGTGGAAAAATCATAGCTGCCATTATGACCAAAAAAAGTAGTTGAGAGTATGATGGTTGCTAACCCATATGCCTAGCTTGTCAGCTCTATAAAATCTTTGAGAATATTCTATGCATGTATTGAGGGTATCCTTGATGAAGATAGTAGATCATTACAGACTGGCTTTAACAAATGATATTTTATACCTTCTCATAGTCACATAGTTGACTGAAAAACTTTGACAAATATATGATCCCATTGTCTTATTGTTTATTTCTAAAAACCATTTAATGTGTAGAGCAGAACACTTCCTTAAAGACTTTTCTCCAACAAAGTGTCTCCCATGCGTAGATTAGACTCATACAAGATACCTTGATAACAGCAAAGATAATTCTGGTCAGTGCTTCATTGATAATCAGTATAAAACATGGAACAAATAGAAAATCATGGAGGATATACATCATAAATGGAAGAGGGAGTCTATAGATGGTGTTTTTCAGATGACCCCTATTTGTGGATATTGTGCTGATTTTAGTGAGTCTAAAGAATATCACAGATACCTCTAAATGAATTCTAAAACCACTAAAGGGCTTGGTCTAACAATGGACATAGGAAAAATCAGGTGTGCAAAGATTGCTATTATATAGACCAGAAGTGTCAGACTTGCTGCCCAAATTCCTTAGGAATTCCTGAAGAAGATTGAAATGTAATTGGGAAATGTTTAACAAAATAAATAAAAATACAGTACAACATAGTGTTAATTTGTGGTTTTCTGAGTTAATATGCACCTCTCAAGAATCTGTTTCTTTTTCAGTTTGACACCACTGGTCTAGACTATATGTGGTGAGATGGATAGCCTATTGAGTTTGTCCATCAGTACCTAAGTCTTGGATAGACATTGCAGATGGATGATGAGCTGGGCTCAGAATTGAGTGGGGGAAAGAGTAGATTAAGTTGCATTTGAGTGCTTGTACTGTGCTTTCAACAATCCCACGTTTCTTCTAGAAACAAAAATCCATCTTTTTAACACTAGGTCTTTTGGTGCTCTCTTAGTTCATATCGTGGTATATCACATTATCGAAAGAAATCAAAATTTTAGGTGACACTAAAGGCAATGGAGGGACTTAGTCTACACATAAATAATCTGTAACATAGTACCAAGGATGACTTGTGGGCATGATAGAGCATTAAATACCTTATAGATATATGTTTGGGGAAAAAAGCCTGACTAGTCATTTATTGAGAATGAAGGATAGCAAATGAACAACCTAAGTTGCACTAAACTCCCATGAGGCTTAAGACCTAGAGTAAGACCTCCAATCTGGTGACTAGACCTCCTATGGAAGATAGACAGCCATGGATTAGAAGCTATGGACCTGTTGCAATATACCCTGTTGAAGAGAGATCATAGATAAGATCATAGATCCGTTAAAATGTAATGTCTCTTTTTGGAAACATTTTGGTGACCCTTGTATTGTTCTAAAACATCATATCTTTTTACCTTTCTTAAATGGATATGACTTAGCCCTAAATTCTATGGTGAGATTAAAATGTGCACATTTTTCAGATTTTTGTTATTAGAAAAAAATATGTTTTTTGTTTTTTAATGAAAGTTGGAGATTTGGAACTAGTCTATAATCCAAGTTGTATTAAGTCTTTCAGAAGCTTGATTCTGAAGATCAGATAATCATATTGAAAATCTGGCTTACCATCGAAAGATATTCAGTGTCATTTACATTCTCCCCCCACATGAAGAATGATCTGCCCCAGATAAACAATCTAAAAGCCTATTAATAGTCCAGTGCTGGTTATACTTAGGACTTAGTACTTTGATTTATGGCTTTAAAAACTGAGGACCTTTGGGTACCTGCCTTTTGTAGGGGATCAGGGAAGAATTTCTGTAAAAAGATTTTTTGGTAAGTATAAACTAAAACCATTAAAAAGTTATTTGATAAGGTAAAGGTTTTGGGGAGGGGGTGAGCAGGGCAGAGCTGACTACTTGTCAGAGAAATTAGATTGTCATTTTAACCAACTATACAAGCTTCATAAAAATTATGTCACACAAATTACTCTGTTGGGGAATCTAGTTGTATTCCTGTGTTAGCTGAAAACTTACTGTGACAAGCAGTAGAGAGAAAAGTTTCCTAAGGGTCCATGTGAGGGACTATGCTAGTATACGTATGTTCCTTAGCTGGCTAGAGACTTTTTATGGTAGACACCATTTTAAATGGCACAAGAAAAGAGGTCAGACTCTTTCAGAAATACTTGAAAACTCCTTTAGAGATGTCTGTAGTGACCACAATCTTTATGCTCAACTTCTAGATCCACAGCTTCCCTTTGTGTTGGAGAGGGAGCAAGTGCCCGAGTGTCAGTTAGGACAGCTACAGAGGAGACCAAACCTAAAACCATGTGTGCATCTAAAGACAGTTGGCACAGGTAAGAATATTGTTTTACAAATTCCTTTTAGTCAAAGCTAAGTTCATTAAACTGAGAGATATAGTATATTTTCCCCAGGAATGTTGAAACTTTTCCCATAAAAATGGAAAGGTAGTTAAAAATCTGTTTAAAGCAACAAGAGTTGCAGTTGTACTTAAGCGATAATATGTGCCTCTGTATTGAATCTAGATTTTGTACACTTAACTGTATTTTAGTGGAATCACATTATGTTGTTCACCTCCTAGTTAAGTATGGTAAAAAAAAATGGTGTAGAAAGTTATTAACTCCTGATTTTTGTATTTCACCCAAATATCATCTTCTGTGCTTTCTCCATTCAGTTCTACAAGAAAGGCTTCACGAGGAGCAGTGAGAACTCAGCGTCGTCGGCGTTCCAAGTCTCCAGTCCTTCATCCTCCAAAGTTTATACACTGCAGTACAAAGGCTGCGTCTTCCACCAGTCAGCTCAGACACAAAAGCCAAACTGACTGTCCTGACAGCAATAGCCGCCTAGGGGTTCTACCTGCTAATGAGTTCAGTGCAAGGGAATGCTCTATTTCTTCTCTTAGTAAGGCTAATCACACACGAGCTGTGAAAGAGCCCTTGGGAGCTACAGTTCCTGATGGTACATCAGAAGGCAAAACAGAAGAAGATTCCCCTGATGCTGCCCTGGCCTCCCAAGCGAGTCTCAAGGCCAGTGATCTCTCTGACTTTCAATCAGTGTCCAAGCTAAACCTGGGCAAGCCATGTGCATGCGTAGGCAAGGAGTGCCAATGTAAGAGGTGGCAAGACATGGAAGTGTACTCCTTCTCAGGCTTGCAGAATGTCCCTCCCTTGGCACCAGAACGAAGATCCACCCTCGAGGACTACTCGCAGTCTTTCCATACCAGAACTCCATCTGGCTCGCCTCGCTCTTGTTCTGAGCAAGCTAGGGCCTATGTGGATGATGTAACTATTGAAGATCTTTCGGGCTACATGGAATATTACTTGTATATTCCCAAGAAAATGTCCCATATGGCAGAAATGATGTATACCTGATAGCAATAAGCAAAACCGTATGCTTTAAAACCAATGAAGGGTTGGAAAAGTGACTTAGTTACTGGCAGACTGCTCAGCCACTCTGTGTGAGAAGATACCTTCCTCTGCTCACTGTGCTTGCAATAAAAACATTTCTTTGCATCTCAGTTAATTTTCATTCTTTAAACTAGTTTCCCTTCCTCTCTCCATCCCCTTGTCCCAAAAGAAACCCCAGACAAACAAACAAAAAAAAACCTTTCATTTTGAAACATCCCAAGATGGATCATAGGATTTAGAATTGAAAGGGACCTCAAAGCACCAAACAATCTAACCCTACCATTTCCCCAATCCCAGTTTTACAGAGGAAGAAACTGAGGTCTGTAAAGGCTAACTGACTTTCAATTTAATTCAGCAAGCATTTAAGTGCCTACTCTGTGCAAGGAACCATGCTAATGTGGGTACAAGACAAAAATGAAAATTGGTCTCTGCCCTCAAGGAGCTTTCTTGTGCTAAGGAATACAGACATGTAAACAGTTAAGTAAAGCATACAATATGTTTAATTTGAAGAGGGAGAGAGCACCAAAGTAAGAGGACCCAAAAAAAGCTTCTTTAAGGTGGTACCTGGACTTTAAAGGAAACTGGATTCTAAGGCTTGTCTAACGTTACACAGCTAGTGAGTGACAGCTGGGATTTGAATCCAGGTCTTTTGACTCCAAATCAATGAAGAGACCAATCTCACAAAACTGTTGGTGGGTGAATATTTAATAGCAATGCTTTCTTTAAAAGGCACTCTTTTTTAGGCCTGTTAAGCAGCAGATAATTTGGGAAAATCTGAATGGGTTTTGTAAATGATTTGAATGATTTTTATGCTATAGTTAATGACCCAAAGAATTCACCAAAGAGTGAAAAGCCTTAAAATGGATTTACTGTCCCTGATTTAATTCAGTACAAGTTTTTATGATTCCAGGGTTAATCTGTTAGTGTCAGGCCATGAATCTGTGGTTCACTAAATATAACACAAAATTATTTAGTCAACATCTACTGAAACCTCCCACAAGCTATCTGTTCTGTATTTGGTGGTGAAATAAAATTGCAGGCCTCAGAAATGAATGATTTTGTTAGCAGTAATGGTGTGTGAGAGGCCCCGAGTTTATTTGGATGAACTCACCTACTGTTTGTTTAAATTAACTCTGCTGAGTCACTGATTTAGTATGAATACAGTGATATCAAGCATCTTAGTGCATTGTCCCACAAGGCCACTGCAATTGGAACACAGGAGCAAGATGGCCTGCTTGTTTATTGGAGTACTTAAAGCTGAAATGCAGATGATGTTTCAGAAGTAACCAGGGGCTGTTAGATTCTGCATGGTTATGGCTCTGCAACTTCTGGGTGGTGTTAGTTTGGGCAGCTTCACAAACAGCTCAAGCTCCTTCTTGGCTTCAGTATTGCTACTAGAAGAAGGCAAAGCAGACAAAAGTAGGAGTGATCTGTCTTAAGATGGGCCACCTCATCTTTCAGTTGCTTTTCAAAATTACAAAAATGGAAGTCATTTTTTTCATAATGTTCAATTGTAAGTGTTGAAACAGTTTACAGGGAAGGAAGAGTAGTCAGTTGTCCTGTTAGAGACATGAAGAGGTGTAAGGATTGAAAATAGGAACAAGTAGTAGTTCCCATTAATGTTTTTCTGGTGAAGAAATCTAGTTTTTGATAGGGATTTAATTTGAATTTGTGGAGAAATAGGATATATATCAAAATTTCATGAATCTCAATGGACATCTATATCTTTGACTATGAAGACTACCTCTACAATCCAGAGAAAGTTAATTTGACCTTTCTAAAAGTCCCTTCCAGCTCTAAATCCTATGATCTGTTTTCCTATAATGACCACTTGAGAGAATCAGTTTTAGGAGGACTGTTTCTTTACTAAGATTCTAGAATCAGTAATGTTTCTAGCAGGCAAATATTAAGAAATTGGAATTATGATTACCCTGCTTTAAGACACCTGGGATTTCTGTGTACAGCCCTCCTCTGGGTATTGCTCTTTGTTTGCCATACATTACATGCAATCTTCCTTCTCCTGCTGTGTATTCTGCATAAAATAATTAGGCTGTAGGAATTGGAAGGAAACAGGAAAGGGTGAGGGAGGGTATATGGCTTTTTCCAAATTTAGGGTTATTGAGCTGTGAATGGAATATTTGACATTAAAGAAGAGGAAAGCAGATAAGGGGTAAATTGGGCTGTTGCTTTGGAAATAGACATTCATTACAGTTTAAATGCTACCATTTCCTTTTTGCTTGTAGCAGACCACTAAAATTCCAAATTAAATTTCCAAAATGTTTCAACCCAATCAGTTTCATAAATATTTCCTCAGGGCAGGAAGAATAAAAAAGCTTGTTCTGCTTTGTAATACATCTGGCCATGTGAGGTCGCCCTTTCTTCTTAAGAAATCCAGCAGTAACATTACTGTGGAGATGCCCCAGAAGAGCATTAGCCCCAAAGTTGTTGATTGCTCATCCATTTAACTATATTTTCATATGTTCAAAATGGAAACAGGTGGCATCAATATAGGCTAGGAACTATGCCAAATTTGTAAAATCATTTACTTAGGGTCTTCAAGGAATTGGAGTGAGCTTTTACCAGTTAGAACAGTTTTGTTAAAGGGGAAGAAATACTATTTTGGACTAATACACATTAGAGGGGGTAGGCAGGAGAAGGGAATAATATCAAAGTATTTAGCATTTAAAGGAGTTCCTTTTCACTCGCTCACTATTTTATTTGGCATGATGACTTCTTAAAGTGTGAAAACTGCCTCCTGAATAAACAGATTTGAAAGGCCTTTTTGGTGAAGCTGTTTATTTTGTAACCTTTCCAGAGAGTTCTGTCTTTGATGAAAAGTGCCTTTATTTGTATAAATAGAATTTTTCATCTTTTTTTTTTAATTAGTGGACAGCTTGCCCTAAATTAAGAAGATCGTTATCAGGTCACCTACATGACAGCTTGCTCTTGGGGGTTGGGGAGGGGATACTTCCTCAGGGAAGAGCTCCCCTCTCTTCCCAACTCACAAGTTATTCTTTCTTTGTCAGCACTGAGCCAAAGAACATGTGAGTTCCTAAAGCACTTAGGAGCTGTCACTGCAGGTCTCTACTGGCCTCTACTTTTGAGGAATTCTTGGTAATCGAACAGTCCAGGCAAGCTGACAACCTAATCAGATGACAAGTCAAGCTATGTAAGACATGGTGTTTTTCAGTGTCAGCTTGCCTGGCAGTTGATAGGGAGCATGATAGGTCCAGAATCATGGGATTGTGGATTTGAAACTGAAAGGGCCTTAAATTTTATTTAATCCAAGTCCTGTCCCTACCTTTTTTTTTTAATAGATGAAGAAATTGGAGCCCAGAGAGATTAGATTACTTGCCCAGACTCAAATCCATGTGCATTCCACAATATATTCCTACAGAAGTGTTTTGGATGCAAATTACCAGTTCTTGAAACTAAACTACTGCTTTGTGGGGAGCATATATCTCAGAAGCCATTTTCCAACTAGGGAAGGAAAAAAGGTGTATATTGGTCATTGAAACAAAGGATGAGACTCTACAATGGCTTATGTGATGTGGAATAACACTGAAAGGTAAGTTTGAGTCAGATAATAGGCAGCAGAATATAAGTGGAAAGAGCCCTGCATTTGGAGTTAAGAACAGGGTTCTGGTTCTCCTTAGTCATGTGACCTTGGGACATCATTTAGCCTCTCTGGGTCTCAGTTTTCTTACCTGTGAAATGAGAATTCAGTTAAATATCCAAGGGTCCTTTCAGCATACAAACATTGCCTGTGAATGAGTTGCCATAGGTATCCCTCTGTTTAAAAGCTTTCAAACTTCTAGGAAATCTACTTTTTCCCCACAGTGAAATAGAAGAACTTTAGGATGCCTAGAAAAATGCATGGAGCAGCTCTTTTAGACCAATTTTTTAAAAAATTATTTCTTCTTTATGCTATTATCATTATACATATAAAATATGTGTGTGTATACACACACACACACAATGTATACGTACACATCATTATATATCAGAGAAACATGACCAAAAATGAAGATGGGCCAGACACTAATATAGTGTTGGTGGAGTTGTGAATTGAACCAATCATTCTGGAAAGCTATTTGGAACTTTGCTAAGAAAGTGATTCAAATATCCATACACTTTAACCTAAAGATCCCACTATTAGGCATATATTCCCAAAGAGATCAAATATAGCAAGGTTCCATATACATAAAAATATTGATAGCATCATTTTTTGCAGTAGCAAAAAAGAAACGTGACAGGCATTCATTAATTAAAGAAATTAGAGTACATGAATGTAAGAGAATATTACTCTGCCATGAGAAATAAGAAGAATATATATGACAACATGAAGTAAGCAGAACCAGGGAAACAATATGTTCAATGATGACAAGGGGAAAATAAAACCCTAAACCTGTCTCAGTGATCAAGCTTGCTTCCAAAGAGATGTGAAAATCCTTCCCTTCTATGCAGGGGTAGGTAATATGAGTAGGTACCCATATCACAGGTATGAAAAATTGCATATATTAGTAGCTTTTGTTATATGTTGGTTAATTTGGCTAAATGGCTTTTAAAAATTCTTTAATTCTTAAAAGGGATGGCTTTCTGCTGGTAACAACAAGAGGGATATATTTTAAAATGAAAATGACATATAAATAAAAGACAATTTTTAAAAAATGGGCCAGTGTAATGAAATCAAGAAATGATGGATGAATAGTTATCTACTTCTATCTGAGAAGGCCATCAGCATGTTGGGTGAACTCCTTGTGGTAGATTTATGGGGGGATATGAACAAGAGTCTAAAAGGATGGGCAGACATAGAAGCTTTGTTGTTAGAGCGAATACCCACATTGTTAAGACATCCATTGGAGTATTAGAGTATGATGCCCACATGCATTTAACCTTTTCACTTAACCCTCGCGTATGTGTCAAGGACTGGTGATTTTATTGGTTTAGAAGCTCCCTCTACCAACAGATCACAGCCTATGACTTAGAATCTTAGAGAGGGTCAGTTAGGTGGCACAGTGAATAGAGCACTGGCTCTGGAGTCAGGAGGACCTGAGTTCAAACGGGGCCTCGGATACTTGACACTTACTAGCTGTGTGACCCCGGGCAAGTCACTTAACCCCACTGCCTAGCCAAAAGAAAGGGAAAAAAAATCTTAGAGAGTTTCCTGGGACTCAGGCGGTAACTTGCTCATGGTCGTTTTATAACTAGTGTCACAGGGAGGATCTGAACTCGGGTCCTCCTATCTCCAAGTCCAGGATTCTCATTCACTGGACCACACTGCCCCTCAACCCTTAAAAGTGTACAAGATACAGGAGAAAGGGAATTCTTTATTTCTCACCCAGCAAAAGAGGTATTTAGTTTTGGCACACAGCTTTTGGCATGAAGTGTTTTGACTTTTTCTAGTCTATAAGCTTGACCAAATTGAGAATTACAGCTTTGCCTTAGTTATACTGCCAATAAATAGTCAATTAGCCAGTAGCACAAAGAGCATTAATGGTGAATTAGCAGAATGCTGTTCAAACACTTGGCTGGTCAAGATTAAATATAGTGCTATAGTCAGAATGTAGTTTCATATGCCTTTATTTTAATAGAGTATTTCTGAAAACTAATGTGCTTCCCCACCCCCTCAAGAGCACAATTGTAACAATGTAAAATTTTTGTCTCATTTGTGAAGAGCAGTAATATAAGTAGTAACTATAGTTGTATTCCTTGCCCTTGCAATTTTTAACTGGAACAGAGAATGGCGTTTCAGAAACTCTTAATATGTCATCCCTATTTTAGTCTCCTCTGCCTGTGTAGGAGAAGGTGGTTGGAGGAAAACTGGCAAAAAGAGATGGTGCGTCCATATAGAAGAAAACAGCCTGAACAAACAGCCTCCTTTTTTTCTGTCTGCTGGCTTGAGGAGCTGAAGTTTAGCTGAAGAAGGCTCATGATTCGTGAAGATAACACTGCCCTTTTTGCCTTTGTTTTTCCCCCTTATATATGGACCAGAAATACGAGTACGCACATAGTAACTTTGGGCCAGGCCCTGGAAGCAGGCTTGGGATTTGTGTTGGTGGCAACAGAAGGGTCAGCTTCCTGCTTCAGTTTAAAACCAGGTCCCCTTGAGAGAGCAAAGTCAGAGTCTTTCCCTGGGTGATTTTAAGTGAATTAGAAAATTGGTCATCAGATTACTCAATAATCCTTGTTTTTCTGATAGCTCGTGTGATGTGATGACCCCAATGTAAGACCCAAACAGTTGCTTAGAATCACAGTCTTTTATTAATCTCATCATGCTTTATGACATCCCAGCTAAAAGGTGAAACAGCAAGTGAATTCGCCTCCTTCAAGGATTCAAATAAAAAGAAAATTCTTTCAAGGTTTGACAGGTCACAGGCTTAGCTGTAACAGAGGGGTGTGGAACTGAATATAGCTGTTGGGTAACTAGTGCAATAGTTTCCTTCTTTGCATCTTTCTTGGCAATGTTCCCATACCCTGATTCCTGAATGCTTCCTTATTCCCACGCCTCCACTTTCCCAGGAATTACCTCTGCAGCCCTTTTAGCCCCAGGGGTCTGCTGGATAGTCCAGATCTTGGCACTGCACATCAGAAAGAAGATTCATTGGTCTCAAAAACATTTGTTAGGAACTGAGATGCTGCTGAATCCACTCAGGCCATTTGGCCCAAGAGCTTTCTGAAATGGGGTTTGGGATGGGAAGGATGGAGAGGGGAGGTTCTCTGGCCGTACATTCACTAGAAATGCCAGGATGGGGGTCCTGGTGGGAAGGGCGTGTATATCCTATGGCATATAAGGACTTTAGTGATGGCAGAACATAGTGGAGACGGAAGCAAAGGTATATAGGGCTCCTTTTCTGAAATATATATGCGTGTGTGCCATCTGTTTAGGGCTCTGTTGTCCACTGCTCCCCAGTGTTACTGAAGTGTGTGTTGGTTTGAGGAGGGGAGCGGGTGAAGGGGAGGCAAATAGGAAGTGGGTCAGATTTCTTGTACCTTATCCAGACTGTGCCTAGAACCCAGCCTCTTCCTAGTGCTTTCTTCCAAAAGCAAACAGAATTTTTAAAAAATATATTCCTCATGCCTTTTAAGGGAAGATTTGTACTTTATGCCAGTGGGTTCCTTAACGGATTGGTCAGGGTTTGGCATGGAGGTCCTGTTTCAGGGAGTGAGTAGATTGCAGAAGTGATGGGAGCAGGGTCTGAGTGTTTCCCCCAAGGTTCTCATTACTTTAAAGTTTTCCTTGATTTAAGTAGTCTGCCTTTTTCTTCCCTCCCTTTTTTTGAAACTTCTTCTTTACACTCCCTACCTCCCCAGCCCCAGCCCCAGAGGTATGCTAGATATATGCCAGTGGGAAGACAAAGCAAAAAACTGCCAAGACAGATACCCATCCCCACCCTCTCCTCCCCTTCCAGCCACTCCCTGGTCTGAAGCTCTGGCTCCTGATTTTAAACACATGCCTTCCCATTCCTTCCCCTCCTTTCCTTCCCTACCCCCCTTAGCCTCCCTGCCCCCCCCCCAGCTAACTTCAGGGGAAGGAGGGACTTTTACCTACCTCATTCGAGGGGCCCAGGGAGGTTGGGCTATAGGGTTATTTTGGGAACAGCTCCTCGGATCTGAAGGCCTTGTTAGGGTAGCACTGACCTTTCCACCAGAGGAGGAAGGCAGGATCAGGAGAAGAGGGCGGGGGCTACAGGAGAGAGACCGGCAGACCCCACACACCCACCAGAACTGCTAAAGGAGCCAGCTGAGCATTTGGAGTGATAGCCTTGCCTTGGGGAACTTAGTACAGCCTGGGGCGCTCAGAGGGGGATTTCCCCCTTACTGGAACTGGTTAGAGAGTCTTCACCCCTATCATTTCTTTCCCCAGTGAGGTTTCTTAAAGGGACCATGCAACTTTTCCAGTCCTCCCTAGAACTGCCTCTGGAGTTACACTTTGGGGGATGTGAAATCTTTTCTGCCTGTTTGTCTTAGAAGCAACAATTCCTCTGCTCCCTCAGAGTGATTCTTGAGTGAGCGTTGGGGGTCCTCTCTGCCTGTCATTTACGGACAGACACACACTACCTACACCTTGGTTTTCTGGACTTCAGACCCGGGCAAGAGCATGTTCATACCACATTGGAGCTGCATCCTAAGTGTGAAGGGACAGCCCTGAACCAGGACTGGAAAGGGGCTGGGGGGTTGAGCCCTGGGGCTCCCCCCCAAGCTCGAGCTGGAGGGCGGAGAGGAAGCCGGGGGCTACGATGAGATGAGTGGAGGTCGCTTTGACTTTGATGATGGTGGTGCATACTGTGGGGGCTGGCAAGATGGCAAGGCCCATGGGCATGGGCTCTGCACGGGACCCAAGGGACAGGGCGAGTATTCTGGTTCCTGGAACTTTGGCTTTGAAGTGGTGGGCATCTATACCTGGCCCAGCGGCAACACCTATGAGGGTTACTGGTGCCAAGGCAAGAGGCATGGCCTGGGGATAGAGACCAAGGGGCGCTGGCTGTACAAGGGTGAGTGGACTCACGGCTTCAAGGGCCGCTATGGTACCCGACAGAGCTCAAGCAGTGGAGCCAAGTATGAGGGCACTTGGAATAACGGACTTCAGGATGGCTATGGCACTGAGACCTATGCAGATGGAGGTATGTTGGACCTGTGGCCAGCAGAGCAGCAGAGAAAATGTGGAAGGGAAGGGGGAAAGGCAATAGAGGATAGTTGACCTGGAAGACAAAAAGAGGCCTTTGGAATGTGTCACATTGAGGCAACTTGCACATATATTCTGTGCATAAAGCATTAATTGCCCTTACAGATGTGATAAAGAGAAATAGACAGGAATCAGGAAACCTGGGTTCCAGTTCTAACTCTACCACTGACTGTGTCTCTTTGGGCAAGTCACTTCCTCTTTTTATGTATCAATTTTGAGCCTCAGTTGAGGGGGTTGGACCAGGTGGTTCCTAACGTCCCTTCTCTAGCTCTGATGCTATGATAATTTACTCTAGTAGAAAGAGGAAGTGGTATGGATGATTCAAAATCATGAGAATTTTTAAAATGTTTCTGCATGGCTTTAGAATGCATGATATATTTTTGGTACCAGACTTGCTTTCTATAGGCTAACATTTAAAATAGTTTGCATCCTAGAAGCATACAATGACCGGCTCTCCACCTTCTGCTTTCTGTGAGTGTGGAACAAGCCAAGGGGAAGCAGGTCTAGCCTGAAAATTTTGCACTAGATAATCAAAAGTTGACTTAATAATGTGACGGAGTATGCAAGTAGCCTTGTTACTAAATATGGACTTGCATTTTCAGGGAGGAGATATACTTGCTAATTGATAGATATACTCTGTGTTTGTACCCACATATTGTGTGAGTATGGATGTGTGGGGCACTTCATTGACTCAGGAGTGTTGTGTAGCAAGAGATTAACAATGAGCCTAGGTGTCTGTAAAGTGTGGTGAGTTCAGAATATGTTTATTGAGAAGTGGGCGTTCAACAAGAGACTTCCAGCCACTATATTTTACTCTTTCCTTTATCAAGGAGAGAATAGGTTGTATGCTAATGGTACCATCTTGGCTTAAATAAAGTATTATGTGATATGTGTAAAGTTAGATCCATCTGTTTTGGGAAACATCTTATTTCTATTACCAATCCATCAATCTATCATTATTGCGCTCCTGTTGCATCTGACCCTGTACTCAGCACTATAAGGGATAAAGAGATATTTAAGGCAGTCTCTTCAAGACATAAGTTCAGTCTCTTTGGGCAGATAAGACTGATGTTCATGAATCCCATGTACATAACACTTTACAGTTTAGTCAACCAATCATGCACACTTTACAAAGTGCATTCCCATGCACCCTTCTTTGATCCTTACAATAACCTTGTGAGGCAAACAGTGTAAATATCTCCATTTCAGAGATAAGGAAATAGCTCAGAGAGAGAATGTGACTTGCCCATAGTCACCAGTCCAAGTAATGATGGAGTCAAGGCTGGAACCCAGGTGTTCCAAGTCCAGAACTCTTTTTGTTCTATCCTATGTAGAAAGATACAACCATTCTCCTCATCCTATTCCTTGTGTCTATAAACTATCTGAGAGCTCAGAAAACACCGCCATGCCTTCTCGGTGACTAGGTCTATAGGTTGGGCCACCCAGTTGTTTCTTCTTCCATCATTGTTACCTGTCCTTCAGCAGTTATCCTTTGGGTCATATATTTAAACAGTGGTCCAGAACGTTGCCCTGTGAGATCCTATAGGTGCACACAGAGTTGAGGGAAAACTCTGATCCCAAGGCTTGTTATGAGCTGGTTAGGGCAACATTCCTTCCTGTCATGGCCATATATAGCAAGCCTAAAAAAAGCTGCTGATTGGTGCTGGGGTGGGGGAAGGGGCAGGGGAATTCACCCTTGAAAATCAGCTCTTCAGCTATGTGCTGCCACTCTCATGGTATTTCAGAGGTTCTCTTGGAGCCCAGCATGCCTTATAGGAGATCAAACCATGGAATGTCAGAGCTGGAAAGGGCTTTAAAACATAGAATGTCATCTAAAAGGAATGTTGGAGATATTTTAGCTCAATCTTCTAATTTTATAGATGGGGAAACTGAGGCCCAGAGGAAGGGAAATAGTTTGACCAGAGTCACACAGCAATAGCACCTGCTATGTGCAAGCCACTGGGACTATGAAGATAAAAGAATAGTATCTATTTTCCTGGCATTTAGATTCTGTTTAGGAATACAACGTGTACATTATAATGACTGACACTTATATAGTGTTTTACAGTTTGCAGATCAGATAGGTTTAAAAAAATTATCCTCAAGAACTGTGTTAGGCTTCCTGTGTTAGGGTATTACCCCCATTTTACAATTAGAGAGATGAAACTCAGAAAGGTGACCCGATCTGTTCATGGTCACCCAAGGTAGTAGGTGTCTGGAGGCAGAACGTGTAGAAAAAGAAGTAAAATAGGAGGGAATAGGATGAATGATTGGAGGGGATCAGGGAAGGCTTCACAGAGAAGACAGCACCTGAGGAGAGCCTCAAAGAAAAGGGAGATTGTGAGAGGCAGAGATGAGGAGGGATGGCATGAGGGAGGATGGGAGAGGGGAAATGGGGGAAAGAGGGAATGAGGGGGGAAGGAGAAGAAGATGGGGAAGGAAAAAGGGATGATAGTGTAGGGGGAAAAGAGGGGAAGAGAGTAGTCTTCAAGCTATAGTTATATAAGCTTGATTTTGATTCCTGGGAAAATCCTAAAAGATCCTCCTTAAAGAGGATGGTTACTGAACATCTAGCAAGGGAAATGGTGCTTCATCAAAAACACGTCATACCAGGGGCAGCTAGGTATGACCCTAGGTAAGTCACCCGATTGCCTCAAAAAAAAAAAAAGAAAAAAGAAAGAAAAAGAGCAGGTAATACTTGATTAAACACATTTCCTTTTTTTTTTTGATAGACTTACCAAACTAGTAGATTAGAGTAATGCTGTAGATATAGTTTACCTAGATCTTATCAAAGCTTTCAATAAACTATCTCATACTCTTCTTGTGGAGAAGATTAGATTAAACATCAATACAGTCAGATAGATTTGAAGCTAGCTGGACTGCCAGACTGAAGGAGTGATTCAACGTCAACACAGGCAGGAAGTCGAAAATGTAGTACCTTAGGGATCTGTGCTTGACTCAATGAGATTTAACATTTTTATTGGTGACTTGGATAAAGGCATGGATGATATCTCATCAGAGAGATAGCAAGGGGGAGACAGCTAACAGTAAATGACAGGGTTAAGATCTAAAAGAATCCGCAAGGATCTTGACAGATCACAGGTTCCCCACCCCTGGAGAGAATTGGGCTTGATCTAGAAAGATAAATTGAATAGGGACAAATGCAAAGTCTTGTACTTGGGTACCCAAGAACTCAAACCAAAACCTTCACAAGTACAAGGTAGGGGAAACAAGGCTAGACAGCAATGGTTCCAAGAAAGATCCAGGAGTTTTAGTGGACTTCATGTTCAATATGAGTCAATTTGGTTTGACATCTAAAAAAACTAATGCAAACTTGGGTTTTAGGAGTACCCTGTACTCTGCCATCTTCATACCTCATTTGTAGGGTTATGTTAGTTCTAAGCTCCATGGCTTAAGGACATTGGTAAACAGGAAAAAATTAAGAAAAGGGCAACCAGGATGGTGAAGGCCTTGAGTCCATGAGGATCAGCTGAAGAACTGGGCATCTTCAGTGTGGGGAAAAAACTTAGGGGGGACATGATAGTTGTCTTCCAGTATTTGAGGGGCTGCCCTGTGGGAGAAGGATTAGATTTATTATTTGGTTGATGAAGGCAGAACCAGAAATAATATATAGAAGTTGCAAAGAGACAAATGTAGGATGTCCCAGAAAAAATGCCTGACAATGGGTTGGGAGGAAGGGAAGGGAATAAGCATTTATTAAGCACCATGCATACATGTGCCAAGTACCATGCAAAGCACTTTACAAATATTCTCTCATTTGATCCTCACAACTACCCTGGGAGGTAGGTGCTATTATTATCATCTCCATGTTTGAGGAAACTGAAGTAGGCAGAGGTTAAGTGATTTGCCCTGGATCACACAGCCAGTGGGGGTGTGAGACTGGATTTGAACTCAGGTCATCCTGACTCCAGGCCCAGCACTCTCTATAGTACTCCATTTAGCTCCCAAAATGGAATGGTCAGCTTCTGGGCGTGGTAGGTTCTCCATCCTTAGAGGTCTTCCAGCAGACAATGGGTGATCACTTGTCAGGTATGTTATAGTGGGGGTGACTTTTGAATATGAGTCAGACTAGGTGACTGCTGAACAGTCTCTTCAAACTCCCAGATTCTTTGATTCTATGCTTCTGAATTGTGAAAATGCATGGAGCAGGAATGGTGATTTGGTGGAGGGGATCCAGTTTGCCTGGAATGTAGAGTTATAAGCAGCAGTTATAAGGTACAATGGATAGAGCACTGGGCCTAGAGTCAGGAAGACTCATCTTTCTGAGTTCAAGTATGGCCTCAGATACTTACTAGCTGTGTGACCCTGGGCAAGTCACTTAACCCTGTGTACCTGAGATTCCTCATCTGTCAAATGAGCTGGAAAAGGAAATGGCAAACCATTCCAGTATCTTTGCCAAGAAAACCCCAAATGAGGTCATGAAGAGTCAGACACAGCTCGAAAATAACAACAGATACAACAAAACATGAGGATGGAAAGGTAGGTTGATGACAAATTATAGTCCCTTAAATAACAGGATGAAGAGTTTGTATTTCATAGCAATCCCCTGCTTCCTCTGAAACTCAGTTCAAGCCCCACCCTTGTGAAGCCTTTCTTTATTTCCTGAAATTGAATTCCTGAAATTTATATTTATTATATAGGTATACATATGAATATGTATGTACTGATATATGCACGTGTGATCTCAAATAGAATATAAACTTCTTGAGGGCAGGAATTGCTTCATTTTTGGCACCTAGTACAGTGCTTGTCAGTCAATATTTGTTGATTGATTCATACCAGAAACAATAGGACGTCACTGAAGGATTTTGAATAAGCGAATGACATGGTCAGATTTTTGCCTTAGGAAGTTCATTTTGGCAGCTGTGTGGGATATGGATTGAGAGAGAAGAGACTGGAAGGTGGGAGTTCAATTAG